CGCTAGAGTGAAAAAACTTTGATTAATTTGGATAGTGCGTTTCACGGTAGAATAATCTAATAAGGAGATTAGCCTTTGATATTACATGGACGTGCGGAAAATTTTTCATAATTGATAACCGGTTTTGCTTCGATAAATGGTCAAGATTCTATCCCCCCCCTACCTATTTTAAGTTTGCAACGATCCGCACTCGTTTTTCTCTCTAATTATTCTTCCTTCTCGACGAGAACACGTCGCATCGATCGTTGGTAAGAATCTGACTGTTGGAAATCGACAAAAGCAGGAATGAAAACAAACACAGTGGAGCATTACAGGTGGTGTCTTTGAAACAAAAGTCGACTGCAAATATTTCGGATACGGAATAGGAGGAGAAGAATTCGAAGGATTTCTCGACAGAATAAATACGAAAAAAGTTTAGCAGGATATTTCTGCAGTGATACAGGAGTAACGACATTACGCCCGGCTTCTCTCGTTCAATTTATTTTCTCTCTCAAAACTGCAACGATGAGGAGGAGGATTGGCCGGTTAATGGGAGAGCTAGCACTGTTTGCTTGAAAAATATCTCTGTTCTCGATGTTTGCACCGAGAACGGAACAAGAGAGGAAAGGGAAAAGGTGACCAAAGAGCTGAATTTTCTCCCCATTTGCCTTTCGTCTACTGCCATCTACATTTCGCTTTGATTCTTCTTTCTTTCTCTCTCTCCTTTTTTAGAGAGAAAGGAATCTCGAGAGCCAATCGAGTGCCTCGTTACCGTTTTCAAGGTTAGAGTCGAGTTTCGCCGCCTTTTGCGCGGACAAAATGGTCGAATGTTCGGAATCGAGATCGATCCGTATTTTCCGAGATACACGCAAAACAAATTTTACGCGCTCAACGATCAACGGCAGGATTACATACGTATACAGGATTTAAAGCGTTATCGGAATGAAAACTATTTCACTTCCGTATCCGAAAATGTTTTCAAATACAATTGTATACGAACGGTTTCCCTTTCCAAACGTAAATTTTTTTGCTCGAAGGATTCGAAAAAACAATCAAATGACGCGTTAGGAAGCAATTAACGGCATCCGTTAATAAAGTTGTTCGCGTGTATTGCGCTCAATCCTCGATTAGTTTTTCATCCGAATAAAATTTTATAGGTTTTTCTTTACTCGATCCTCCGTTTATAAATTGAAATTATTCGATCATTCGAAATCGAATTTGGCCTTAGTAGCTTCCCTATTATCGAACGGATCAAACTTCTGCCGATACTCTGGAGGGAAAATTAGTTACTCTCGATCTACAAGTAACCCTTTCCTCCTCTTCTTAATGTGTTTTTCTTTCCATCGCGGGACGTGCTGTTATTTTCGGCACTTTTCTCTCCTTCATTTTATTTCCAGATGCGGCCACGTTGCCGCCTGCTCGATCTTCCCGATCTGCGCAATTTTCCATTTTACGCGTTTCCATACTCGAGGGAGAAGAGGGGACATTCGAATTTCTAAAAAATTGGAGGTTAGGAAAATTGTATCCGCTTTTTAATAAGAGAAGAAACACGAATAGATGATCGAGCAGAATTTATTATTGGTAATAAATATTTGATTAATTCGTTTAATTTATTAATGTATCTGTTAATTACTCGTTTGGCACTTCGTTGTAGAATGACTGTTTTAGCTGTGTTTTAATTGCTTCCTATCTTTGAGACGAGAGACAGAATGAGAGCATTTTTCACATCCGTGTGGGTGGAAATTGAACAGTGATGAATTCCGAAAGCGTATTACCGCCGATCGATAACGAAGGATCCGTGGATTTAATATCATTCGTCTCGAGGTGCATCGACCTTGATACTTTATTCGACTGCAATAATAATCGATTCAAACCTGTTTTCAAACATTTTCACGTTCTTTCCTCTTGACAAAAATTATAGTAATAATTCGTTTCGCTAAAGATTTATCGATCGATTTTAATAGATTAAACGATTAAAAGACGGCCGCAAAAGATAAACAAGTCATCATGATAATAAATCCACGTATATTTATATCTATGACATGTTTTTTCTATAATTTTATCTATCTGAAAACGTGATACGTCACAATTATATATGAAATATCCGATAATCTATCGCATAATCTGCAAACAACACGGATAAGTTTTTGAATGAAAAATCATCCTGTTGAAACTCATCGTTACTGAACAAAAAAAAAACAAAACTTTCTTTCGCGTATTTCTTCTGTTAACGATAAGAAACGGCGAGAAAAGAAACTACTTAGAGTATCTCGTATCGAATTAGCGATGTATTTATAATTCGAGCAAAGTTCAACGACGCAATTTTTTAACATTGACGAATCTTTTTCTGGAAAAACAAATGTACCTCCTGTCTCCTTCTTTCCACTTTCAATCTTATCGGTTCTATCTATTTACTTACCTGTCGATGTAACACGTGATATTTCGACATTAGTCCGATAATAACCGAAGGGGAATCTTGTGAATTGATCAATTTTCCAGAGATCCAATTTCTGGAAAAATTCACCAAAAACGAACGTCAACGATAAATATTTCGCAACCGTTGAAACGATACGCGCCTTTGACTCGCGAATATTCTATCCACCATCGATTCATTCCATGTTCTATGGAGAAGGAAGGGAGGAGGAAAAAATGCTTCGTGTTGACCGGTGGTAAACTCGTAAAGTGCGTTTACAGGATTTGTCGGATCGAGAGGAGGAGGCTTGATCCACATTTCGAAGATCGTTTCAACCGCGAAAAAAATAAATTCGAAAAACGGTAGTCAAGCGAGGGTTTTTCATTTGGAAAAAGACATTTCGAAGAAAGGTTTCCTCGTTTCGACGAATATTTTCTTTTTTTTCTCTCCTTACACGTTGGAGATCCTATATATTATACGCACGGCCTAGCATCCGATTACTACCCTACCCGTCGGGAAAAGTTGGACAAAACTGAAAACTCGGGAATTTTTTTTTCGGTTGCCTTTTTTTCGTTTTTCCTTTTCCCTCCTGCGACTTCAATTATTACGTACGATTGCACCCTGCTGTTCTCTCGTAAAACGTACGCATCGCAAACCGAATTCGAAAGTTCGTGACAAGAGTGAAACAAAAAAAAAAAAAAAAAAAAGAAGAAGCGTTGTTACATCGATATATTAGATGACATATTTTTCCTGAAGGAAAGAATAAATTATTACGAACTATTATTCATCGTTTTCAACGCGTTTCGTATTAATTCCCCCATATACATGTAGCATTAAGTGCAACATGTATACCGAGTTGCAGGCGCGATATTTATCGAGTCGAACGTCTCGCGTGCTTCGATAAATTCTACGTACTCATCCTATCGTACGTAGTTGCACGATAGAACGTTTCTGTTTCGAACGAGGGACGAGGCACAATACTGCTGCGGGCGAAAAAGCGTACGGATAACGCGCTGTTGTTAGTCGAATACGTATTTGGATAATGGGAATAGTAACAATAGAAGTCGAACACGCTAATTAAATCGCACGCCACGCGAGAACTGCCTAATTTATTTTCACTCAGAGTTTGCTTTACCTATATCTCCGTCTTGGTAAGCGTCTTTTAACTATCTTTGCTTTTCTTCACGTTTCGATTTGCTCGTTAATTTATCGAAAAACATTGACCCATCGAGTATTCGAATCGGGGACAAAAAACAGAAGTAAACACGTGCGCTCGTTATTTTTTTGCGATAGTTTCTTTCTTTGCGGTTTGGGATATCCAGTTTCGCGTAAAAGTTTGTTGAAAAATTCATAGTATCTCGCGTCGACGTATACTGTGTGATACGTTCACACGGAGCAGATGGTGATCGATTCGGTTTCAAAATAAAGACAGCCGCCTTTGAACTTTGCAAGCGATGCGAAAATGTATCCATGGAACGTGCTCTCTTCCCCTTTCGAATCTTCATCCGCCGAGAGAATATATCCACGACTGTATACGCAGTCGGCTTACATTAGCGAGGCTGGCTCTGCAGTTCATCAAAGCTTGTTACAATAAACAACGAACAGCTCGGTGGCAACGCGTGTTGCCGTGTAACCAACCAATTTTCTCGCTCTCCGCCGGCTAAACGTTTTGAAATCGCGTTGTCCGCACCGTGTCTGGATAAATTTTTTTCGAGCTTGGCTAAACTTCCCCTTGTATTCGCTGATAGAGGGGAGAGGTATTCGTCAGGTATTCCGAGTTATGCGAAAGATTCACAAGAGATTCACGTGTGCGCGTTCCATATATACCGAGAAATACCGAAGTATCGAAGATGCCTTCGACTCGGAAATTCTCTTCTCTTCGTTGTTCCCGAATCCGGTCGGCGGGGGGAATAATGGATCGAACTCGATACGGTGCGGGAGCGCATACCTTCCCCCACTCCTCAGTACGTGTACGGCCAATCTTTTTCGCGACAGCGAAACACAATGTTTCGAATAACGTATATTAACTGGACAAGATTAATTTTCAAAATGTATAAAAAAATAATTATTTCAATGCAATGTATATAATATTATAAACAAATAGCAAATAGCCATAACTTCTTTTTTTAATACTTTTAATTTTAATACTGTCAACGTTCAGTTTATTGTACGTTTCTGAAATTCGAACTGATTCCTAACTTAATTACCCGCTACAACTTTTTCGCTATATCCACCGCGCAGATATTTCGCGTAGCAGTTAGGAGTTAAGGATTCGAATATATATATATATTAATTAAACGTAATTTTTCTTTCTATATAATTTCTCTATAATTTTTTATATATCTCCATATATAAAAAAAAATAATTTTGTCCAATTACCTTGTATTATATCGAACGACTGTGCAACAGTGGTCACGTTTCTCGAAAAATGAGGCGAGAAGCCAGCTTCTCACGGGTGGAAAATTCGGCATGACGTTATCCCTATGTACAGAGAGAGGGAGGGGGAGATTATCGAGAATGTTCTCTCGAACATGTCTCGCCAACGTCTCGAGACACGAGGAGGGAGAAATAGTAAATGTAAAAATATGAAGGAGAAATTCTGTTGCAGGCATGAATGCACACCTGACGAACGGACTCCTAATGCTTGCCCTCGCCATCGTCGCGACGATGCGGGACGATGCGACGGTGCTCGCATATTCCGGCGCCCCATTGGTCATGGATCAGGACATCCCTTTGAGAACTTGCCGATATAGCAGGATACACTCGATGATTCAAGTTCGTTGCGCGAATCTGGGTCTGGAAAGGATCCCCTCTAATTTGAAGACGGAAATTCAGGTGAGAGAATTCATTTCGAACGTAGTTCCTTTTTTTTTTTTTTTTTTTTTTACACTTCTCGATCGTTTTAATCGGATCGAATTCTTTTTCTCTTTCTCTCTCTCTCTCCCCCTTGACCAGATCCTGGACGTGTCGGTGAACAGGGTACGAGTGTTGACGAACGACAGCCTGGCCCCGTACACGAACCTCGCCTACCTTTACCTGAGGGACAATTTTATCCAGGAAATTCAAGAGGCGGCTTTCGACAATCTCCGATACCTGAAGATGCTCGACCTCTCGACGAACGGGTGCGACACCCTGCCCAAAAGTCTCTTCCGTTTACCGTATCTTCAAAATTTGTATCTATCGAAGAACAGATTGGGCGACGAGCTGTTCGAACGAGTGGATGTTAAATCCCCTTTAATTCTGCTTCAATTGTCTAAGAACAGATTGGGTAGGATACCGTCGTTGGGCCCGATACCAACCCTCACCTATTTGAACGTCTCCGAGAACAACATCGGTTCCGTTTCGCCGGAGGATCTGGCCCCTTTCTGCTCCCTGAAGAAACTCGATCTGTCCAAGAATCCGATCAAGTTCGACGCGGGCAGCTGCGAGTGCCACACGTTCAACGCGTGGCTGCACGCGCGTGAAATCGTTTCGAGGCCGGTGTACAATTGCAGCGAGGAGCGGGCGAAGGGGGAGTGCGCGAGGCAAGAGTTCACGAACCGAACGATGGAATTGCACGAAAGGTGCACGGAAATCCTGCGGTTGCAGGTCGAGACGGAGAAGGCGAGGAACACGTGGATATTGATCGCCTGTTGCATATCCGGCTTCCTGTTCTGCTTGTTCGTGGGCCTGTTCTGCGTGCACAAGAAAAACAAACGGAGGAGGAAGAAGCTGAAGGAGGAGCAGAAATTGAACGCGAACAACGCCAACACCGAGTTGCTCAACAGCAATTTGAACCAGCCCGAGAATACTTGAAATCCGGGCGGAACGTCCGGTGATTCTGTCAGAACGGAGATACCGACCCGACGATTTCGACTATTGTGTTCAATCCACGAGGAATGGAGTGAAAACGTGTGCGACGAACGCTTGAGAAACGGGGATTGTACTTCGTCCGATTTTTAAAGAAAACTGATCCTTTTATTCTCATCCGTGATGCACCATCGATGATTCTGTAATAGGCGTAAAATGTAAGAACGAGAGAGACTGCCGAATTGCACGCGGTGAATTCGCAATCTTTGTGGAGACCGATACAAAAAATTTCATTCCGCGCGATTTGTAAGAAAATTCGTTCGAAAAATATTGTATCGTACGAATATTAGGTTGATACAGAGTCGATTGAGACACACGCGAATTTCTAGTATTATCACTTTTCTGAAACTCGAGGGCCTTGTTTGTACGAATTTAATAAAGAAACATGCAGAGAGATTTGAAACTGGTGGAGTAATAAGAATCATAAGAAAGGCAGTTTACGATATCCTTATTAGATCGTTGACATCTGTTAAATTGTTAAATTATATATTGTAAAGAATTTAGAAGAGAACATTTTTGAAATTTTGTGAATCGGAGAGTGAGATAGGAAAACAAAATGATAAAATAAAATAAATCGTTAAATAAATATCTGTGTTCTAAAAAAAATAATAATAATAATAATAATGATACGATCTCGATTATGGTTCGATAACATCGGTAATCTGCGAATTTAATCGAAAACCGATATCCCGAATTTCCGTTGATTCCTATTTCTACTAGCAACTAACAACAACTCTGATTGTCGTTTACGATAGTGGAATTTCGATATTCGTATTATACGTATTATCTTACAGTTGGAATGGATTTCGAAAATTATAAACTAACTAAGATGTATGTGTAAGTTTCGAAAAGATTTGCGAATATCGATCGAAAACAGTACATTTTTAATCTCGTATCGATATTCATACATTTTCGATATAATTCTCATTGCATCTTTTAAACTTGATTTCATTCAAAGAGCAAAAAATGCAATATCGGTTCCATCGAATTTTACTTCGAAGATTATTCTTCTCGTGTTACGTGATACTATATTCTAGGTATACATATAAGCTTTACATATGTATATGTTAATATATGTATATGCCTATACATATTAATACATAGGTGCATACAGGATGCACGTATGTACGTACATACATGTTATATATCATATTTATTTATATTTAATGAAAAATATTTTCTATTATTATTATATTTGAGTTTTAAAAGTTATTTATGCTTTTTCTTTTCTTTTCTTTTCTTTTTTTTTTAATTACAAATTTGTGTTCTCTGTGTAATAGAAAATTTGATGTTATGCCTTTTATGAAAAGTGCCAAATATCCAATCCATTAAATTAATCCATTTTTTAATTTAAAGTGCGACATACGAAGAAGAAATAAAACATCATATTATATCTGAAGATTAAGATATTACTGCATAGTTCCTAATATTTGTACAATTCTATTAATTATTTTTTTTTTTAATAGCGTGTAACAATTATTTTATTTAAACGAAGTTATTACTTTTTCTTTCGAGAATTTGTAACGATAAAAAAACGATAGAGCAAAGTTCGAGTTGATAGTCCACGTTTAGATTTTGAATTAATAGCGAGTAAGAAACGAAGCTGTAACCTGCCGATCAATAAAGATTCTTTGTATGCGTACTTATTTGTACTTAATATATATACATTTGTACTTAAATCATATTTCTAATGTATTTCTATTAAATTTTCTTTAACTTTTAGTAGATTTATTGTACAAAAATAATGGATACCGACAATTCGGTAAATTCCATAAAATAAATCTTTAATCTAATCGACTATGTTTTAATGAGAAACCCGAGATCATTCCAATAAAAAAAATTAAAGTATAATTTTTAAATAAAAATTATTCGTAATTACTAAATACTTCTATTGCAATATAGTTTGTCGATAACGAATACATTAAATTGCTACAAGCTTACAATTTTTTCTGCTAGATGGCCATGATTTTCACAAATTAATTTCTTTTATCATTATTTACTCGATAAACGCGTGTAATTGGAGACATAATTATTAATTTACTGTTCAATTATCTTATGTATCTTTGTTTCTATATTAAAAATGAATCGTTGATAATATAAATCCTCCTTTTCGTATGTTTGCAAAAGATGTCATTTTGATTGTTATTACGAAGAGATACGGATATAAAAACAGAGATATACGTAAAGATAGTCTATACGAAGTGATATTATGTGTATTAGTTTAAGGTTAACCAATATCATATACGAACCTAAGCGAATAAAGCACAGTCAACTGTCGCAAGTGCTAGTCACCAACAATTTATTGTGAACTTGAAATGTAATGGGATATTTACATGCCAAAAAATAGATACGTTTATTTTTAACTGTAAGTGACGTGAAATTTTGACAAGATTTATTTATACTTTGTATTATCTTCTCTAATAATTTTCGTTTCAACGGTATTATAATAACAAACATTTGAATTATTGTTCCGGTTCATCTCGGAAATGAAAGTTTCAAATGACAGTTTTATTATTTATTAAAAATCTGTTCTATTAAGCATAATTATTTGAAATTATCAAAATTGTTGATTATTTTATATAAAAAAATCATCGTATTTATTATTATATAATTTAAATTCAAACCGTGTGTCAATTCGAATGTATTATGTAAAATGAAATGACATTTTTATGAACATAGTTGTTATAATAATTTTTTATTGTTACTAAAAAAATGAAACTCAAAAATACTTGTTCTATTATAATTTTACATATTTGCTCTATTATAAAAATAATCAAATTAAAATTAAAAATAATATAGTCTATTAATATTTAATAATGTTGATAATTTCACTATTATTATTTCTACAATATATTTTTTATTTTTTTAGTTGAATTTACTTTGTTATCTTATTATTCTAAAAAGATCAATTAACAGAAATAATAATTATGCTATATCTATTTCGATTTCTAATGATATATTTTTTTTATCATTCGTGAATATTTGTGATAAAATAATAAAATTATTATATCAGAGATTTTAATTATTTTATTTTATTTTATTTTTTCAGGAAAAATTGATTTAATAAATCAAATGCCATCATGGATGGAAAAATAAAAAAAGAAAGAAAAAAACATCCTAGAGAAGGAGCAAATCCTCTTAGTATTTTAACATTTGCGTAAGTTTTATAAAATGTAATGACTTGTTTAATTTTTTCCTTGTCATGCCCTACTAATAAAAATGTAACTTAAATTGATAAGTAAACAATATCTTGAAAACAATATCTTTAAATAAATATATGAAATTCTTGTGTAAATAAAGTGACATTTATCTTGAATTTCATTATTAACCCAATAATACTTTATTGGTATTGTTATCTATTAGTATTCTTAGACAGAATTTTTTTGAAGGTATATTCTCATTATCTTTTTCCATTATCTTTAATCAGCGAACATTAATATAAATTGCTTGAAAACAGATAATATTCTAGGTTTAAATATTTAGCTCAATCATTGATTTAAAGATAATGGAAAATAAGATAAGTGATATTGTTTTCTTTTTATCATTTTAAAATTCTATTGAATTAAAATGTTATTTATAATTATTAGTAATAATAATAATAATAATAATAATAATAATAATAATAATAGTAATAATAATATAATGTAATAATAATTATATTTTTTATTAATAGATTTACACTTCCTATTTTTTGGAATGGTTCTCGTAAAGATTTAGAAGTAACTGACTTATACAGACCTCTTAAAGAACATAAAAGCAGTTATTTAGGAACAAAGATATCAAAAACATGGCAAAAGGAATACAAAGCTTATGAAAAACAGAAGTTGCTAAATGAAAAAAAGGGAAAATACAATCAAAAAAAATTAAAGGAGCCTAGTTTATTAAAGGTTCTTTTCAAATGTTTTGGTTTTCAATTACTCATATATGGAATATTTTTAGCGGTTGCGGACATTGTGCTTAGGTACATAATCATTTAACATATATTACTATGATAGAAAATACATTAAATACATTGAATAATATGATTATTGGTTCAGATTGTCACAACCTTTGTTTCTTCGTTTTTTGATCCATTACTGCAGTCAACCGAAAGTCGAGTCTATACCAATACATACTGTAATGACCAGATTGTACAATTTTTCAAATTCTCAAGTTCATGAAATTGACAATGTGACGAAACCGTTAAGTCCCTTAAATCTCCTTTGTTTTCTAACTGTTAATTCTTTTCTCCTATATGGCATTAATTTTTTTTGCTTAAAATTTTTTTTTTTTTTGCTTAGAAAGTAGAACAAAGTTGATTGCTACTAGTTGATTATCAAAGTAACTACTACTTAATACTAATATTATTTTGGATATTTTTTCGTAGTTTGCAATAAAATTAATCAATAAAATATGTAATAATTCATTAAAAGTAATTTTATATATTTATCTTATATACAGGGTACTACAGCCGTTATTTCTTGGTCGACTTTTGAGAATGTATAATAGTGATAATAATTTAGAGGAAGAAAAAGAAAATGCCTATTTATATGCGGGTGGTATAATACTGTGTTCATTTTTATTGTTATTTGTTAGTCACCCATATATGATGGGTGTACTTCATATTGGAATGAAGTTACGTGTGGCTTGTTGTACATTGTTATATAGAAAAGCATTGAAGCTTTCAAGAACTGCTTTAGGAGACACAACAGTGGGACAAGCAGTGAATCTCTTGTCTAATGATGTTAATAGATTTGATATAGCAATAATATATATACATTATTTGTGGATTGGTCCACTTGAAACTATCATTATAACATATTTTATGTATAGACAAGTTGAATTATCTGCTATGCTTGGAGTTATAGTACTTTTATTATTTATTCCTTTACAAGGTAATTCAAATTAATAATTTCATATTTAAATATATGTTAGCTTTAAATATATGTATAATTTTTTATATTTTATGATATCGATTTTTTTTTCGTTTTTTTATTTTTTTCTCTTTGTTTTTTCTTTTATAAATACATAGGATATTTGGGTAAAAAGTCCTCGGTGTTCAGATTAAAAACTGCTATTAGAACAGATGAAAGAGTCCGTTTGACCAATGAGATTATTAGTGGCATTCAAGCAATCAAAATGTATACCTGGGAGAAACCATTTAGTAAATTAATCGAAAGAGCTAGAAGGTATCTCATATGCGTCTTTTAATACGATTTATATTCTTATATTCTTATATAATATATATTCTTATATAAATATGAAATTATTGATATTGTTATAGGAGAGAAATTAATATTATACGATATATGTCTTTTATTAGAGGTATTACTATGTCTTTTATTATGTTCACTACAAGGATGTCGCTTTTCATTACTATACTAGCTTATATACTGTATGGTCATAAAATTACTGCTGAGAAAGTGTTTATGTTACAAGCGTATTACAATATTTTACGTCTAACTATGACCGTCTATTTCCCACAAGGCAAGTATGTTTGAATAAATAATTATTAACGCTTGATTAATAAATTTAACAAAAAAAATATTGATAATACAAATAGGAGTAACACAAATAGCAGAATTATTAGTTTCTATAAAACGTTTACAAAAATTCATGTTGTACGAAGAACTTGAGGAAACAAGCGAGAAAACGGAAGAATATAAAAATGAGAGATCAAAAGATGAAAAGAAGAAAAATGACGTTAATAAAATAGAAAAAGATATAAATGATGTAAAAAGTCAGACAGATGTCGAAACAAACAATCAAGCGGAATATATTTTATCATTAAGAAATGCTAATAGCAAATGGTTTGTACACGAGCAAGAAGATACGCTGAAGAATATTAATATTAATGTGAAGTCGGGCGAATTAATTGCTGTTGTTGGTCAAGTTGGTTCTGGTAAAAGTAGTTTGCTTAATGTGATATTAAAAGAATTACCTTTGAACTCTGGTATAATAGAGGTTTGTATCGTTTCTTGGATAATTATATCTTGTTTGTATAATTTGCCTCACTCGTATACGTCTGATAGATATGTCTTATCAATACGATAGTTGAAAATTTGTTTTATATTATTTTATAGATAAATGGTAAAATTACATACGCTAGTCAAGAACCATGGCTGTTTGCCGGTTCCGTTAGACAAAATATTTTGTTTGGTAGAAAATTGGATCAATTTCGTTACGATCGTGTAATTAAAGTCTGCCAACTAAAAAGAGATTTTACTTTATTACCATACGGAGACAAAACGATCGTTGGTGAAAGAGGAATTAGTTTGTCCGGTGGTCAACGTGCTAGGTAATTATTATATATATATATATATGCATTCTTTTAAAAATACAATACTACGTTATAATGAATTCATTAATTTATATGCATAGGATAAATTTAGCCAGAGCGGTTTATTCAGAAACAGAGATATACTTGTTAGATGATCCGTTAAGCGCCGTAGATGCTCATGTAGGCAAACACATGTTCGAAGAATGTATCGTGAAATATTTAAAAGGAAAGACTAGAATTCTCGTTACGCATCAATTGCAATACTTACAAGCTGTAGATAGAATAATTGTTCTGAAAGATGGAGCAATCGAGGCGGAAGGGTATGATTCGTGGTGTCCAATTTTTTGCCATTACTTTAAATTCGTTTAAATTACAATTATTATTTATTTTAGTTCTTACGAGAAACTTGCTTCCATGGGAATGGATTTTGGAAGATTGTTGGAGAAAGAGAGCGAAGAAGAAGAGCAACGATCAGGATCTAATCCTCCAAGTAGGACTACTTCTCGAAACGCTAGTGTAACATCATTGAGTTCATTAAAAAGTAACGCTAGTGAGAAAAATGATCCAGTCGAAGTATGTTCATAAGAAAAAAAAAAAAAAAAAAAAAAAAATAAATATAGATTGAATTA